CCAGCAATCCTTCAAGCACGAGCTGAAGAAACATACACCGTATAGGGCGGGCAGGTCGTCTCAGGACGGCCCTGCCTCCCGAGCTAGCGGGGAAACCCGCGGGCAGGTGCGCTTTAATAGCGAGGAAACTCGCCGGTAGCGAGGCTACTCGCGCGCCCTTTCCTTGTAGGCAGCCGCTGCTGCTTAGCACTGTTTTTCCGCATAATGTAGAAGTGCGGTGCCTGCTCGTCTCCTCCCCCTCCGACTTTAAACGGAGAAGGTTAAAGGCGAGGTATAAATCGAGCATGTACCGCTGCCGTGCCTGGCTCAAGCCGGGCCCGGCCTAATATGTGATTGTGCCTCACCGAGGCGCACGACTTGCATCTGAGATCGGAAAATACCTTTTCCATTGACGATGCCCATCCTATCCTTTACTCCAGATCCCATGCTTCGTCTTGCTCTCTTGCTCATGCGATATGAGCCAAAGCCTGGGATATGGCAACGCTTAAAGCGTAACACATACCTAAGCTTACCAGTGTGTTTTCGACTAGGGGACCCATCTATGTGGTGTGAGCGATGTGGTGCGAACTAGGTGGTCCGACCTATGGGGTGTGAGCCATGTCGTACAACCTATGTGGTGCAATCCACCTTGCAGAACTTGCCCGCGACCATGTTCTGAAATCTTTTGGCAGCCATTTGGGTTTACGATCTTGCACAGAACCCGCAGTCTGGTCTCACCACGCGGTGCATTCGCGTTCATCGAGCATGGGCCTTGCGCACGAATCGTTCATCGTGCACGGGCCACACGCACGCGCCGCCACGCGCGCGTGTCGAAATCTCTTCAAAGCCTCAGGTTTTCGAAGCATTTCAAAACTGAGCGTTTCTCAACCAGAGGAACATAAACATTTAGTAAACCAACTTTTTGCAAGGTTTCTTGCAGTTCCGCGCGCGCGTGTGCTCACCATCACCCAAATAAGCAGCACCGTCTCAGCGCTGTTATCGTCGTCGTCAATCGCCGCCATTGCCGCCGTTTTCGTTGCCGCCGTTGTCGACGACGTCATGATGCCGCGCCCGCCCGAGCCACCGACTCACACAGAAGTGCCCCGCGCGCCAGCGCGGCCCTTGAGACGCGTTGGGGAGTTCTCATCGGTGAGCGCCATCGCGGCCGCTTTTGCTGTGCCAAACCAGCTGGCCGCCTCGCGCGCGGGCTTGCGCCCGCTAACAGTGGAGCTGACGGCTTCAATTTGTGCGAGGTGACTTACACCTAACCTTTTGCACCCAAATACCTCACGCCGACAATCTAATTTCCATGTGGCGATGCCCTTGCTATCCCATGTAAACCCACACCACCCCAGCCAGGCCGGTATCACCCCCCCGTCGAATCTCTGTTAAATAATGTTAGGCGCGCACGTTCGTTCAATTTAGAAGACGATATTCGAGAGCCCGCAGGAACAACACACGCACACACGAAGTCTACATGCGCGTGCGCATGCCGAACTCATACGAAACACGTTAGCAGCATATGCGCTTCACGTAAACCAAACAAATCAAAAGCTCTAGGCTTGCTATTGTAGTTGTTCAGCGGCGAGCGAGGGGGGAAGTGAGAAGGAAAAGGCCTTCTCAGAAGGCGGCAGGACTTTTCAGAAGCCCTCCAGCCTTCTGAGAATTCTGACTTCGGGGAAGGCTTAGAACACTTCTCGGAAGGCCGGGGGACGTCCGAGCCTTCTGAGAAGGCCCGCCCCTTCTCGCTTCCCCCCCTCGCTCGCCGCCTAGTTATTGTTGTTTTCTGCTCGCGCGCACTTGCGGGCATCATGGGACAGACGATGTGGGTTCCGCTATCTCGTCCAGGACCCGCATCCTTGTCCAACCACGCGGTGCATCCGCGCTGTCCCAGCGTGCGCCCAGTGCACGAGCCCGCATCTCGGCGGCGAGCGAGGGGGGGAAGTGAGAAGGAGAAGGCCCTCTCAGAAGGCTCGGAAGTCCCCCGGCCTTCTGAGAGGATCCACAAGTCTTCCCCGAAGGCAGAAACAGCTTCTCAGAAGGCGCGAGGGCTTCGCAGAGGTCCCGCCGCCTTCTGAAGAGGCCTTCTCCTTCTCACTTCCCCCCCCCTCGCTCGCCGCCGAGTATCGAATAATTGCATCCAGACAGCACGCATTCGCCGCCATGTGCGCGTGTCGAAGCACTCCAAAACATCGGCCAGGTTTACAGAATTTCTGCGCGTGCGGGTTTCCTCATTATCACCCTCATCTGCGCCATCGCATCACCGCCGTTATCTTCATCGTCGGTCGCCGCCATCGCCGCCGTCACCACCCAACCACCTTCATCACCGACACATGGATCTCATCGTCGCTGTCGTCACCAGCATCGGCGCCGTCGTTGGCCTTGCCGTCGCCATCGTCAGCATCACCACTGCCATCGTTAATGCTACCTACGTTGCCGCCATTGTCCACGTCATCCTGATCTCGCGCCCGCCCAGGTGACTGACCCGCGATCAAGTGTCCGCACACTTGCGTGGCCTCTGCGATGCGCCTGGAAGTTCCCACCAGCAAACGCCATCTCGGCCGCGTCGGTTGTGCCAAACCAGCTGGCCGCTCTGCGCGCAGGCTTGCGCGCGCCATGGCGGCCGCAGAGACGCCCCAACCAGTGCCAAACTGTTACCGCAATCGCGGCCGCCTGCGTGTTGCCTAGCAAGTGGCGGGTGGGAGGGCGGAGGAGCGGTGGATGAGACGACTTCAATTTTCACGCCACATGGCTTACACCGCATAGTTTTCACCTCGGCCGTGCAATGGCGCGCATTGTGTGTGTGTGGTGTGAGGGGGTGCGCTGACTAACACGCTTACGGGAGTAGTTGGACGGGTCCGACGGATATGCTCCACGTTTTTGCTTGTGGGCCCCTCGTGGGCGCTGTCGGGCGTCCCATGCCTTGGGTGGGTCCGCCGAGGTCTCGCGCGGTACCCGCCCGCGGCTGCCTCGTAGGCGCTCGTGAGTGTTCCGTGCCCTGGGCGGGTCCGCCGAGGCATTCCGCGGGGTGACCAGGAAGGGGAGGAGGAGGAGGGGGAGGAGGAGGAGGATGAAGAGGGGGAGGAGGAGGGGGAGGAGGAGGAGGAGGAGGAGGAGGAGGGGGAGGAGGAGAAGGAGGAGGAGGGGGAGGAGGAGCAGCGGGAGGAGGATGAGGAGGAGGACGAGGAGGAGGAGGACGAGGAGGAGGAGGAGGAGGAGGGCGTGTCCGCCCGTGGGCGCCTCGTGGGCGACCCCCGTGCCCTGGGTGGGTCCGCGTGGGTCTGGCCCGCCGCCCGCCCGTGGGCGCCCCCGCGGGGCGCCTCGTGAGCCTGCCCGCGGGCGCCCCGTGCCCCGTGGTGTCGCCCGGTGCTAGCCCGTGGGCGCCTCGTGGGCGCCTCGTGGGCGCGCCGTGCCCCGGGTGGATCCGCCGAGGCTTCGCCAGGTGCCCGCCCATCACCACCACCATCACCACCACCACCACCACCACCATCACCACCACCACCACCACCACCACCACCACCACCATTACCATCATCATCATCATCATCATCATCATCATCATCATCATCATCATCATCATCATCATCATCATCATCATCATGGCTCAAGTGGGATACCTCCGCACCTGGGCCAAAATGAATTCCATGGCCATTTACATCGAGGCCACCTGGCCGAGCGCCGCGCCGTTCGAGGACCGCGGTTCCATATGCCCACGCGATGGCGTCCGTTGCTGTCGTTGCTGACGCTGCTCGTCATGCCACATCGTAGAAGCGAGGATGCCCTTCATCGCGCGCTTGCCAGGTGCTGCACGGCGGACACGCACACCGGCCTGCTTCTCGGCAACCTCTTCTCCTTCATGTGTTACTGCCTCCACGAGCTGATGCTCATCATATGCCAGTGGCAGCACCGACACCAGTTCCGCGGCCCCTCTACCCGCTGGGCATCTGCTACAACAGCGGGCTCGCCGCCGTCGCGGACTTCATCAAGAATATGCACGTTCGTCCTCCTGGTGGTGCTGGACCTCTTCCACTAGCTCCTGCCGCTCAGCTCCGCGGTGGTGCTGGCGTTGGACCGCTTCCCCCACCTGCCGACGACGAAGCACCTCCTGCTGCCGCTGGTGACGCTAGCCCGCGGCATAGCGGTGCTAACGGCCGTGTTGCTGCTGATGATGGAGTTCTGCATCATCTTTCAATTCGTGGCTCAGAAGTTCGAACCGGTGAGGATGGCCATCTGGAAGAAGCTCTGCACGATGACGTTCATGCTGTCCTACCGTCTGGAGTGGTTGACGCTGCACGCCCCGAACACCCCGATGTTCATCTGCATGATTGTCCTCGCGCCGCCCCGTTCGGAGTGGCTGCCGATGTTCATCTTAACCGTCCCGCTCAAGCTCTTCATGATGATGCTCTGCACGAAACTGCTCCTGCCGTTCGTCGGCATGCTCCTGCGTCCACCGCTGCTGGTGGCAAACCTCTCCCTCTCCAACACGTTCTGCGCGAACCCGCCCTCGCCGATCTTCGGCACGCTCTTGCTACTGCCGCTGCTGGTGGCGAACATACGCACCAACGTCTTCTTCAACATGCACATCATGCTGGTGGGGACCCTGCCAGTGCTCGAGAGCGCCCCGAATCGGCCGCTGTTGGTGCTCTTGCAGCTCTGCACGATCCTGTGCACACTGTTCTGCGTGCTCGTCCCGCTCCTCAATCTGAAATTAGTCACCATACTGGTGGCCTGCGTCATGATGCCCCCCTTGTCAATGTGATGATGATCTTTTGTGCGTTCACGCTGCTAGCGTCGCTGGTGGTGAACAACATATTTGTCCAGTTCCTCTGCATACACTCGCTCCTGCAGCGCCTCCTGGTGCACCTCATGGCGGCGATGGCCGTCTGCGCGTACCTGTAACTGCCGACGCTGGTGGGGTTCTCGCGGTAAGGTCGTTGCGACGATCCGTCTCCATACGCCGCTACGTGTCCAAGCGGACGCAGTCGTTGCTCAGCGCGCTTTTCCAATAGTGGTAGCGGGTCATGCGGCGCAGAGTTCTGAAGAACAACCGCCCCTACTATCGATGCTTCGACGCATGGGTGGACTTCACGAGGTTCACATTGGCTGAGAGCGACAGCGAGTGCAGCATCGCAAACACTGATAGTCCTGATGTTCCCGTCACTGGTGCCGCCGCTGGAGCTGCTGACCTCTACCCGCACTGCTTCGACGCGCGCTCGCTGGAGCTGAGACGCCTCCCAAAAGGCGATGCTGTGGTCAGCGACGCGTTGAGCGGCGAGTCTGAACCATATGTGATGCCCGCTCTAGCCAGGTCTCCCGCCTCTGCTTCACCTCCCCCGCTGTCCCCTTTTTTTTCCGCCCGTCCCATTTTTCCCTGTATTTCTCCCGAACAACGAAAGCACGTCACCCTTGGCGCACACTCCTCGGGCTCTAGCCGCAGCGAGTAGCGCTGAACATTACAGCCAGCTGAAGTAGACGTAGCGGCTGCTGGCAGGGAGCGGGATCGACGTTCTTGCCCTCTTCTCGCTTCTTGTCCGCTTGAATTCGTTTCTCTTCCAATTACGTCCAATCATCATCATCATCTGCATCATCATCATCATCATCACCATCACCATCATCATCATCATCGTCATCATCATCATCATCATCATCATCCGCATCCTCATCCTCATCACCATCATGATCATCATCATTATCATCATCAGCATCCTCATCATCGTCATTTTCAGCATCATCATCATCATCTTCCTCATCATCACCATCATCCTCCTCATTACCATCCCTGTTACCACCGTTTTCATCTCCGCCGGCATTCTCCGGCATCGCCAGCATCACCCGAGGCCTCACCGCAGCCGGGGGCGCGAGGAGCCGAGCCCCTTAGGGGTCGCCTCGTGGGCGCCCATGGGCGCCCCGTGCCCTTGGTGGGTCCGCCGAGGTGCCGCCTGGTGCCCGTCCGTGGGCGCCGCGTGAACGCAAACGTGCCCCGGTTGGTAACGCAGCCTGAACAGCATTGGTCACTTCACAAAGCTAGCACCGCATATTTCACACAACGTGTAGTTTGCACCGCATCGCTCTCGTCGCGCAACTTACACGTGGCTCGCACCACACAGCTGACACAACACAACTTACACCACGTACATCACGCCAGATCGTTTGCACACCGATAACAACGTATGTTATTCCGCACAGCTCCACCCCCACAGTGCAAACACTTGCTGTTCCGAACCCACGGGCGCTAGCATAGTTGACATGTCTAGATGTCCCTTATCTGTACGTGTGTGTGTGTGTCTAGAAAATCGACCATTCCCCTTACCATTCTCCCGTACCCCGTCCATGATCGTATTCTTGTTTCCGTGTCCCGCTCGCTTCTGGCCAGTATATTTCTCTTTCCTCCCGTCAGCCTTCCCCTCGCGCCGCTTCTTCCTTTTGCCCCTCCCGCCGCCTCCCCTTCCTCCTGTCTGCCCTCCTCTCTCCTCCCTCCCCGCGACCCTTTTTCCTTACCTTGCCCCTCGGGCATGGGAGCCGATGCCTCGCGAGCTGCGAGGGCAGATGCTTGGAGCTGCTCCACGGCAGAGATGCAAGCATCCCTGCGGGAGGCAGGGCCTCTTCCGCCTCCGAAGTAACCTCGCCCGCTCTGCTCAGGAGAAGCGTGTGCCGTCTCTCTCTCTCTCTCTCTTTCTCTCTTTCTCTCTCTCTCTCTCGGCCAGGGCTGGACCTAACCAGTGTTTTGGCGATTTCGTGGGCCGTTTTCGTTTCGACTTCGTTTCGCGGTAGAGGCGGATTGAAGACAAAACGAGGGAAAACGAAAACAAAACGAACACGAAAAACACCGTTTAGGTTCAGCCCTGCTCTCGGCCGCACGGTCCGGCGAGGTGGCTCGCGCAGGCGCTGGCCGACGAAGCTGGCGGTGGGCCGGGCGGGCGGGTGCACTCAGTACCGTTTAGAAGATCCCTTTCAGAGGTCGTTTCGCTTCGGCGGCATGCTGGTGGGAGCCGCCTCGGGAGAGCGCGATGACATCCGGCGCTTGGACCAAACCAGGAACAGGTTGAGGGGGTCTAGGCCTCCTAGATGGGGTCGGAGCAGATGGGGTCGGAGGATCGCGCCGCATCGCCGATGCATCAGCGATGCGGCTCGATGTGGAGTTCGATTTTCTCCACGCCAGCGTCGCTGATGCATCGCCGACGTCGCCGATGCATCGCTGATGCATCGGTGATGCATCGCCGATGCATTGGCGATGCGGCACGATCCTCCGGCCACATCTGCTCCGACCCCATCTAGGGTGCCTCTAGGGGGAAGGTTCGAAGAAGAAAAAACACATAAACATACAGTTGTGGCGCTCCACCCCAGCTGGGGATGCATCCCTCGAAGCCCGGAGGGAACGGCCTACTTATCCCCATCTATCGGGGGTAGATCGGCCAGTGGGGCCCAGGCCACGCCGCTGGGGATGGGGATCGGTTAAGCGATACTCATGTACGTGGCACGCGGAGGGGGAGGAGGAGGAGGAAGAGGAGGGAGAGGAGGAGGAGGAGGACGACGACGGGAACGAGGAGTAGGAGGAGGAGGTGACAGCGTGTGGGGGGGGGGGTTCTTCGGGCGGGGCCAGTGCGATGTTGTCCCAGTCCTTGCCCCGTTTTTCTACCGAGGGGGTCGGGGCTCCGCTCCCGCCAGCTTCTCGGTCGCGGGGCTGTCGTCTCTCCAGAGACGGGAGCAGGCCAGCCGCACTCGGGGGAACTGTGGTCGTCAGCTCCTGCAGGGGGGAGTTGTCGTCTTCACCCAGTCTTGGGTTCGTCCCCGTGCAAAGGCGGAGGCAGGTATTCTCTTTTGCGCCGGCCGTGGACTTGACGTCTTAAGTGCCAACGTGGATTTCGGCGGTTCGATGTTTTCCAGTCCTGGCTGGCGTGCTCCTTCTCTTCGGGAGTCTTCGAACCTTGGGGCCATCGCAAATTGATCTGGAGGCGATAAACTATCCCTGGGGAAGGGCTCGAAACCTCTGGGGTCCGCGGATTGATAAGCCAATCTGTCGGATGTCTGGGTACCCAGATGTCTGGCGATCACGACAGATAGTACTTGCCGGCCCCATCCATGATCTGGGCCATCTGGCAAGGCCACGCCTCGGGATTCAGAGAGATACAGAAGCATCCATGACGAACGGCAGCCGCTCGGGATGGTGTCGAGAGGTTTTGCCACGAAGATAAGGAATCCTGAGGGGAAGGGATTGGGCCGCAGCGGGGGGGGGGCAGGGGGGGTCGAGGTGATTCGAGCCGTATCCAGGGCTCTGAAGAGGAGGCGAGCGAGGATGAGGACGAGGAGCACGAGGTGGGGAGCATGAGCTTTCCTGGCCGCGGGGTCGTAGTCGATTGATCGATTGCACACCAGCACCGTGAGCTGGCGCCTCATGCGGGAGCCGAGCGGTGGTACAGGATATCATCCTCTCAGTCATGCTCTCGGCAACCGACGGGCCTGGGTGAGCCAAGCGAGAGCCACTGGAAAGATGCACGCTCAGACCAGGCGGGCAAACGGTGCGATCCTGGCTGGGCCAGAGTCCCAGGGGGGACATCATCTGGAGAACGCTGCCTTCTTGGAAGAGACAGACCAGACCCCCAGGTGGAGCTCACCGCGTGGTCTTCTACATAAGGGTTCTCTCTCAGAGAGTGCAATGTTGATGATCGATGGGAGGAAGGACGGGTAGAAAGTGCCACGTAGCGCTATTCAGAAAGGGCACGGCCTTCGTGGGACCGAGAAGGAGTTGTATGTTTTCGTTTCTTCCCTGGCGGAAGCCAGTGGAAGCAAGCCGGGTGCGGGAAAGCAAAATCACGAGATGTCTTTTTGAGGGGGATTCCGGGTGTCTGAGACCCGCTACGCGTTGGCGCGGTTCCTACAAGGGGCGCCTGCTCCTGCTGCTGCAGGGTTGCCAGCAACGTGCCCCGAAGCCGTCCAGGAGCCAGCGCCAGTCACTGGACAATTGGGCTTAGAGCTCATGGCAGAGCTCCTGGGAGTCGGGGGGCGAGGGTGAAACAAAGGAGACAAAGACCTGGTGGTCGTTTTTTCCCCAAGCCTCCTTGGTTGGGTATTCGTTTTGAATTGAGCACCGCGGTCGCGTCCTCCCGCCCCCCCTCCCGCCTTCTGCCTCCCGCCTCCTGTCTCCCGCGAGACCTCGCCGTCCCTGGGGGGCTGCGATCTGCGAAACTGTCGCCACTGTCGAGGGCTGCTGGTGGGTCCAGTGGAGAGAGGCACCGCGCAGATCTGAGGTAGGCCTCGCCGTCCCTGGGGGGCTGCGATCTGCGAAACCGTCGCCACTTTCGAGGGCTGCTGGTGGGTCCAGCGGAGTGAGGCACCGCGCAGATCTGAGGTAGACCTCGCCGTCCCTGGGGGGCTGCGATCTGCGAAACCGTCGCCACTTTCGAGGGCTGCTGGTGGGTCCAGTGGAGTGAGGCACCGCGCAGATCTGAGGTAGACCTCGCCGTCCCTTGAGGTCTGCGAGCCGCGAAACTTTCGTAGGGTTGCTGGTGGGTCAAGTGGAGTGAGCCACCGCGCAGATCTGAGGTAGACCTCGCCGTCCCTGGGGTGCTGCGATCTGCGAATCTGTCGCCACTTTCGAGGGTTGCTGGTGGGTCCAGCGGAGTGGGGCACCGCGCAGATCTGAGGAAGACCTCGCTCTGCAAAACTGTCGCCACTTTCGAGGGCTGCTGGTGGGTCCAGTGGAGTGAGGCACCGCGCAGGTCTGAGGTGGACCTCGCCGTCCCATGGGGGCTGCGATCTGCGAAACTGTCGCCACTTTGGAGGGCTGCTGGTGGGTCCAGCAGAATGAGGCACCGCGCAGTTCTGAGGTAGACCTCGCCGTCCCTGGGGTGCTGCGATCTGCGAAACTGTCGCCACTTTCGAGGGCTGCTGGTGGGTCCAGCGGAGTGAGGCACCGCGCAGATCTGAGGTAGACCTCGCCGTCCCTTGAGGTCTGCGAGCCGCGAAACTTTCGTAGGGTTGCTGGTGGGTCCAGCGGAGTGAGGCGACGCGCAGATCTTTGGTAGACCTCGCCATCCCTGGGGGGCTGCGATCTGCGAAACTGTCGCCACTTTCCAGGGCCGCTGGTGGGTCCAGCAGAGTGAGGCACCGCGCAGATCTGAGGTAGATCTCGCCGTCCCTCGTGGGCTGCGATCTGCGAAACTGTCGCCACTTTCGAGGGCTGCTGGTGGGTCCAGTGGAGCGAGGCACCGCGCAGTTCTGAGGTAGACCTCGCCGTCCATTGGGGGCTGCGATCTGCGAAACTGACGCCACTTTGGAGGGCTGCTGGTGGGTCCAGCGGAGTGAGGCACCGCGCAGTTCTGAGGTAGACCTCGCCGTCCCTGGGGTGCTGCGATCTGCGAAGCTGTCGCCACTTTCGAGGGCTGCTGGTGGGTCCAGCGGAGTCCGCGCAGATCTGAGGTAGACTTCGCCGTCCCTGGGGGGCTGCGAGCCTCACGAATGCCGCTCGCAGAATTATATGCGCCATTGTCACGTCATCACCTCTATGACGTGTCCCAGGCTACTGGTGCCCCGCATTTCGCAGGGGTTGGGTACGTCGCCTGGATAATTATTCATTGTTTTGCCGATCGGCGCGGGCCCTCGCACCCCCCCCTCCCCTCCTCCCCTGTGGAGTAGATCTTGGCTGTTTTTTGACACCTGTTTCGAGCGGCTGGAGTCTCCCCCAGAGGACGCGCGGTCCCAAACAGTCGCACTAAGCAGGGGTCCGGAGCCAGACCCCCCCCTCCCACCCCCTTTCCGCCCAATGTCGAGACGCCGGGAAAAACGCTCACCTGAGCAAATGGAAGAGGGAGGGCAGAGGAGGGAGGAGAGGAGAAGGAGTAGGGAGGGGAAGAGAAGGAGGGATGGGAGGAGAAGGGGAGGAGAGAGGGGAGGAGAAGGGGGGAGAGAGGGGAGGAGAAGGAGGGAGGAGAGGAGAAGGAGGAGGGAGGGGAGGAGAAGGAGGGAGGGGAGGATACAACGACCAGAGCAGGGAGGGGAGGAGAAGGAGGAGGAGGAGGAGGAGAAAGCTTCCACCAGGCCTCAATGCCTGTCCTGACGGTCATTGAGACTGGAATTCTGGCTAACGTTAAGTCGTGCGTTTCCCTCTACAGGAGGAATCTTCAAAAATAATCAGAAATTACCTTGGCGACGAACCCAACCCCTGCGCAAACGCGGGGCGCAAATAGCTTTACTTTATAAGGGGGGCGATGACGGAGCGAGGGTTACATATGTCTGCAGACGGAATTCGGGAGACTCGCAGGACACTGGCTACAGGACAAGGACTAGATAGAGCTGATTAGTTGCAATCCCTGAGCAACCTTAGCCAGTTCGAAAGCGGGGATCTCAGATCGCAGCCCCCTAGGGATGGCGAGGTTTAATTTGAATCCGCCCGTGGCGTCACTGTGCTGGGCCCCCCAGCAGGCCTCGAAAGTGGCGACAGTTTCACAGATCGCAGCCCCCCAGGGATGGCGAGGTCTAATTTGAATCCGCCCGTGGCGTCACTGTGCTGGGCCCCCCAGCAGGCCTCGAAAGTGGCGACAGTTTCACAGATCGCAGCCCCCCAGGGATGGCGAGGTCTAATTTGAATCCGCGTGGCGTCACTGTGCTGGGCCCCCCAGCAGGCCTCGAAAGTGGCGACAGTTTCACAGATCGCAGCCCCCCAGGGATGGCGAGGTCTAATTTGAATCCGCGTGTGGCGTCACTGTGCTGGGCCCCCCAGCAGGCCTCGAAAGTGGCGACAGTTTCGATCGCAGCCCCCCAGGGAGGTCTAATTTGAATCCGCCCGTGGCGTCACTGTGCTGGGCCCCCCAGCAGGCCTCGAATGGCAGTTTCACAGATCGCAGCCCCCCAGGGATGGCGAGGTCTAATTTGAATCCGCGCGTCGCCCTCACTGTGCTGGGCCCCCCAACAGGCCTCGAAAATGGCGACAGTTTCACAGATCGCAGCCCCCCAGGGATGGCGAGGTCTAATTTGAATCTGCGTGTGGCCGTCACTGTGCTGGGCCCCCCAGCAGGCTTCGAACATGGCGACAGTTTCACAGATCGCAGGCCCCCAGGGATGGCGAGGTCGAATTTGAATTTGCGCGTGGCCCTCACTGTGCTGGGCCCCCCAGCAGGCCTCGAAAACGGCGACAGTTTCACAGATCGCAGCCCCCCCAGGGATGGCGAGGTCTAATTTGAATCTGCGTGTGGCCCTCACTGTGCTGGGCCCCCCAGCAGGCTTCGAAAGTGGCGACAGTTTCACAGATCGCAGCCCCCCAGGGATGGCGAGGTCGAATTTGAATCTGCGTGTGGCCCCCACTGTGCTGGGCCCCCCAGCAGGCCTCGAAAATGGCGACATTTTCACAGATCGCAGCCCCCCGCAGGCAAGACAGGAAGAGGCAGGGAGGGAGGAGGAGGAAGGAAGGAGTGGAGACCACACTGCCCTATTCAAAACGAATACCCATCCAAGGAGGGTTGGGAAATAGTCTGGGGACGATTTTTGTATGTTTGAATACGTTTGAATGTTTGGGGGGTATTCTTTAGTTTTTGTCCCCAAATCCGCCTGTAGGGGGACACGCCCGACCTCAGGGTAATGTTGTTGCGCCCGTCCCTGAAAGCCCACGATGCCGATCCGAGATCCATGCAGACGAGGACGAGGAGGAGGAAGAAGCAAGGGATAGCAAGCAGGAAGAAGCAAGCAACGAGGAGGAGGAAGAAGCACGGAAGCAAGGTGAGGAGGACGAGGCACGAGGGATAGCATATAATTAGAGAAAAGCAACGACCAACGATTCCTGCAGCACTTGGACTGTTCGGAGCCACAAGCAGCAGTACCAAGAGTGTCTCGAAGAAGTGCGACAACGCAACATACGCAACGCACACACACACACAGCAGCGACACGACGTTACGCCAGCAACGGCCGCACCGACTATGCCCAAGCCCAAGATCCCGGCGCCAGGCCACAAAGCTCCACCAGCATTGAAACCAACGTGCGCTACCCGTCAGTCGGATGGTGGAGATTACTGGTAATACAACACTGCCTCACAGGAAACGTCAGTTCTCCCAGTGCGACGACATCCAAGAGGATAGTTTCCTACCTACTGCGTGGACACGGAGGACTCTTGGGATTGCTCACGGCCTCACATCTTCCACACCAGCGGCATTCAGAACACCAACTACGGCGTGACGACGAGTTCTGTTTGCCGCCCATACCCCCATACATGAGCTTGCATTATGATATGTATTGGTTGGCATGGCCATGAGGCCCACTTGTCCCACTATCCCATCTCTTGCTTCACACTCTTGCTCGACCTGTTTCCACCACATTTTGCACATGAAGCACGCTCCGGTCTTTCTACGGCGTACCCGCACCCATTGTGGTGGCTTGGGGTGGAATATGATTGGGGAGGAGTGCGGGGATGGATATGTCTTCCAGCAGTTATAGGGCCCCCAGCGCAACAGGTAATGGCCCCACCAGCTTAGCCCTTACCATTGTTCCTGTCTGCCTCCGCGTCTCTGCAGTGAGCCCAGATTTGGTTCAGCTACACCATCAGGCTCAAGTCGGGCACGTCCCTCTACAGGAGGAAAATTCAAGCATAGTCAAAACATAGTACGGGGACTATTTTTCCCGTATTATCGAATATGGTTTGATATTTTGTCATTATGTTTCATTTTCCGTCCGGAGTCTGCCTGTAGGGGGACACGTTCGACCTAACACCAGGCCCCTCCTGCTGTCGTTCGTCACTCCCCCCTCCTCCCGACTTTTTCCCGCTCCGCCGGGCCGTCGGCCTCTCCTCCCCCCCGGGAGCTCTCCCCTTGCTGGAGGCAGGGGGGGGGGTTACGTGGGGCATGGTGTCCGCTTGTGGATGCCAGGCGCGCCCGCCTCGCTGTGGCTCTGGCTCGGTACAGCGCCAGCTCCCTCGATTCGATTTGGTTCGATATGAGGCGGAAGAAGCCGCTGCCAAACCTCGGGTGGAAAGAAAAAGAGAGCCAGAAGGAAGCAAGATAAGAGGTGGCGGCAGCAGTAAAGCGACTGCGGCTTGCGCACACGGCGCGGACTATGGCGCGGACCACGGCCCGCTACCTCCTCCTCCTCCTCCTCCTCCTGCTGCGTCGCTGCTGCTTGCTGGTGGGCCGATCGTGGATCGGATGTCTCAGCCTCCCCAGGACTCGACACGGAGCCGCAAACCTGCGTCTCTCAACGTAGAGTGAGCTTGCACAGACTGGCGCAGCTGTTTGCCGTTGCGACGTCATGTGCTCCACTTTCCCACGTGTTGTTTCGCATTATTTGCCGCTGCCCTACCAACCGATCAGCGCGCTCACCGTTCAGCCGCACCTCTACGATCTACTACTGCGGTTCCTCTCAGCAGATGCCAGGCTCTTAGCATGAGCCATCAAGTTTATCTCTTATCATCCAAGCAGTTTCCTGCTCTACTGCGTTTGCTGATCGTGGCCACTTTGGCAGGTCGGGAAGGGAAAACATTCCCTCTGTTGTTTTCCTATATCAGCTTATGCGCTTATACTGGAGGGACGGGCGGGGATCGTGACGGATCGGGTAGGGGTTGGGGGGATGACTAAAGCACATGAATTTATCCCAGTTGCCGATTAACGTTGTTTGTGTTGTCCAACGTTTTCGCTACTCACCGCCCTGTCTTCGGCAGACGGTTGCATATTGTTGCATTTGTATATCACTCCCTCTTCGTTCGGTTCGTTCCTCGATTCTCGCAATTTAGATTTAAATGATTTTCGATGGGTCATTCCTCCTCTCACACCACCTGGCTGGCGCACACCCTGTGCCCCTGAGGGCCCTCTTCTTGACCTGTTCTCACTGCATGTTCTTTTTGGCTGCGCTACCAATTTATTATTGTTTCACACTGCCTACGTCGGCGATCGCTTTTGCATCCCAGCGCTCCAGGCTTTGACATTGAGCAAGCGCAGCGTCAGAAAAGGGTGGGAGAGCCTCCTCCTCCTCTTCCGCCTCCCTCTTCCTTCCCCCCTTTCTCCTCTGACGGGGTGGAAGATGAGTACGGTAGGTTCGCGTCGTGTCCGCCCGGTGCTGACACCAGTGCGGGCGCTCAAGTTTGAACGCCGCCAGTGACAAGTGAACGCGGTCAAGTTTGAAGCGCGCTCAAGTTTGAGCGGCCGATAATCGGACTTGCGCCGATCGAGAGCCGCCGTCGCTCAGTGCTGAACGATCCACACGGTGCTGGAGACGGCGCACACGTCGGCCCGACAGGAGCCCGCGGTGGGATGGCGACGATGAGGACAAGGACGATCAAGGCGCGGACAAGGCTGCGGAGGAAGGTCTCAGGGGCAACATTAGGGGGGGGGAAAGGCTTAAGGAGATTCGCATCGACCCCCAATCGCCCATTGATCGCGTGCTAGGATGCCGATGGACCACTCCGCCCAGGCACTTTCGGATCCGCTATCGGGTCTTCTCGCCGAAACATGGGCGATGTACCTTCGATTCCAGCTCGATGTCTCCCCCCGTGAGTTGCCTCCTCCTCCTCCTATGTTACCCCCAGCGCCTCCCCCTATTGATGGGCCTGTCTTCCACCACCACCACCACCATCAGTTGGAGTGTGAGGGGGTCCTCCTCCTCCTCCTCCTCGTCCTCGTCCTCCACCTCCTTTTCCCCCCTCCAACTTCTGGTGGTGGTGGTGGAAGACAGGCCCACCACCTGGCGCTGCCCCTCCGGGCCCCTGACAACAGACCCCGGGGGCGGGCGCGCGCGCGGGCGGGGCACGTGGCAGGCGCGGGGCGGCCGCCGGCGGAGGCGCTGCGCGCCTCGGACCGCGGGCCGGGGCGCGGCCGGGGCACGGCGGGGCTCGCTCCGCTGCGGTCTGTCCGGCTCGGTGCCGATGCTGTCCCGCTCGGTCTGATGCGACGGCGGCAAGCCTCGGAGACTGGAGCATCTGCATCACCAGTGGCGGGCCGTTTTTCCATCCCAGGACTTCTTGAGGGCCGGGGACGACGCTGGGGTGGTGTGGTGTATACTTTTTTCCCTGATGTCCTGGGGAAACGGCGAAAAATGTGTACACCAGGATCCCGTATACACCAGAATCCGCGTTCCTGTGCGAATTTCGGCGCAGGGTCGGGAAAAGTGTCGGTGTATAGAGTTCGATTTCCTAATTGCGGCGACCCGATAGCCCCCATGTTTGCACGTCGTTGTCGTGCATCCTGGCGCGGCCGATGCAGGCCGATCCGGCGCACATTCCGGTTCAATCCGGCATTCCGATTCGATGCTGACTGATCCTGGCATGGTTGCCGCCTCGGATCTCAGAGCTTCCTGTCAGGAGCTGTGGCTTAGCGTGTCGCTCCGCCGGTTCTTGCCCACCGCTCTTCGGCGCGACACGCTATCCACGTCCCGGTCCCCAGGCGTCAGCGTCACGAGCTTCAGCCTCCCGCCCCGCGGAGCGGAGAGACGCGCTATCCACGTGCAAGGCACAGCGTGTCGCTGGGGCCGATGCCGCGACACGCTATCCGAAAGTTCCTGACTGTAGAAGCGTAGAAGCTCAGAAGCTCAGAGTCCGCCACGCGAGCAGCGCGGAGCTTCGACTTTACAACTTTTGGATCCCTGTTGGCCTCCAAAAGCCTCCAGGGACCTCCCAAGGCGGCCTAGGTGTTGCACCTTTTCCTCATTCTTCTCACTAGCACCTCAGAGGTTCGAGCATCGAGGATCGAGGCTGTTGGGCGTCTCATTGGGTCTCTGGCACCCTCGTCGCCAAAGCTGGACCGTCCCAAAGCTTTTGCCAGGGCGCGCACCAGGAGAGACCGTGGGATTCACTTTCGGGGGCCTGGCTGCCGACATGGCGCTGCCTGACTACAGTGGGTTCGCGTCGTGTCAACGCGGCAGTGACCTCAGCGCAGACATTCTAGGTTGATTGAACGTTGCCAGTGGCCAGAAGTCGGCCGACACCGAGCGATCCAAAGGTTGAACGATCCACGCGGCGTCGGAGATCAACGCGCACGTCGCCACGACGCGAGCCTTCCGTATCCCCCTCCCTGGATCTCAGGCGTCATGAACATGCTCGCGACGGCCAGTTTCGCCACGATGTTCAGCCCTGCAGAGGCCAGTTCCGTACCCCAGGCCCATCACAAAACCGTCTGGGATGAGGAGCGCGTCCCTAAAAAGAGGTCGAAGAGAGCCCCAGGGGGACTTCGTCACGAAGCGGGCATGTGGTCGGATGCCTGGGTCCCGCTCCTTCCCTCCCCCCATCTTCCGATCCACTCCTCGCCTCCACCCTCTTCCCGCAAGCCAGCAGCATATCTCATGTCCCGTTGCCCAATCTCTTTCCTCGTCGTCATCATCTGGTGAAGGCATTACAGCCGGTGCCGCCGACCCTGAAAAACGAGGACGAGGATGGGGGAGGAGGAGGAGCATGAGGGAGAGGCGGAGGACGCGGTGGAGCAGCAGGAGGGGGAGGACCAGCGCTCAGACTGAAGAGGGGGTACGGCCATCCAGGGCCACAATCCGCTACCCCTCTAGGGGGCTTTCCTGGCAAGCGAGGGCGACCTCGGAGACAGGCGGATGGCTCTCGTCTCGTGAAACGTCCCAGGCAGCACTTCCCCCACTCGGATTACCTATCTCGAGGTCGGTGGGGTTCGTCTCAGCCAGTTCTTCCACCAGCTGGGCCAGAGGGATCGGTGAACGCAAAACAATTGGTGAATTCGCGGCCCCCTTGGGATGTCTACCCTCCGCGGCTCTCTGCTTTTGCAGACGTCTACCGTGGTTAGGGGGCTCACCAGGGCAATCGTCTGCTAGCCCTCTGGTGCTCTCGGTGAAGGCTCCACAGGTCCAGCACAAAATAAAGCTCAAGGGACTGCATTCGTCTTCGTAGCCAAAGAAATACAGATTGTGGCCTCGCGGATTGCTCGCAAGGTTACTGTGAAACTCGCAGTAGCCAGGGCAGTCCTCTTGGTCACGTCTGGCCTTAGCTGCACTAGTAGCGCAACTGTGGCGGCAGGCTGCACACATGAAACTCTTCCCCCGGGGGTGCCACTGATGCTTTCGACGCTGAGTATCGGAGGCGAGAGGGGACCTCGGCGGAGGAGGAGGAGGTATCAGGCCCCACGAGAGGCCAGCCGACGCGGCCCCTGTGGGCGGGTTCAAACTCTGCATCGGTTTGTCAAAAGCTTTGGCACCAACCTTGGGAGCTACTGGTGGCCATAACTGCAAGGCTTCTGAAACGTAAGTTAGAAACTTGACCAGTAGCTCGTTCTGGCCTTCCTGCAACTCGGTCTCTAGCTGACTCGGTTGGGAGGCTCTAGCAGCGGCGATCTTCGCATATGTATCGGCAGCGTCGTTGCCTTTGGCTCGTCGCCACTCAGGACTATACTCTGGGAGCTCGTTAATATTGACGTGCGCTTTAATCTTGTTTAACCGTGGGCCCAAGGGGGTAGCGCAAGCGCCACCGAGGACCTTGAAGGTCCCGTAAAAATCGGACCGCGAGAAACTTTCCTTTCGGTGCACGTCTATGGCTCCTTGGTAATCTACAAACATTTGGGCGTGTGGGTGTGCATTGAGACCAGCAGCAAGCACAGCACACTGTTCAGCAGCGGGGGAGGAGGGGGGGAGGTATTTACCCACACGCCCGATGAGGTATGCAAACACATCACCGTGGCCATCGATGGCCACCACTGACCACCCAGCTACGTTATAATGTTTGTGCCCTCCAGGTTTGAGGCAGGATCCATCGGTAAAAATCTCACCGGCAAAGGCCTCGTGAGGCTGCATGCTGGAGTCTCGACACCCAAACTCGGCATATTCGTAGCCAAACCCGTCAGGAGCCCTTGTTTCAAATTCAGGTTGGAACTGGAAGCCATACGCTACAGCCTGATCCGTCACCTTCGAAATCGTGTCAAGTTCATCTGCTGTGAACGTGTCGCGTAACTGGGCGCTCAGCGAGCAATGTAAAAGGCGGTGGCGCAAGTCATCGCACGGGTGCCCACGCTGGCACTTTCCGTCAGAGTCGTACCCAGCTCGCTGCAAACGCGCATTGGTCCAGATACTCTGGGTGAGAAAACTAAGAAGGGTGGATCTGGCTTTCTTTGGCAGCGTCTTCCCAGCCAACATGTTTCGGGCGATGCTGGCGTCAAGGGTCTCCTGGGGGTAACCGAGTTTCTTGGCGGCTTTGCTGAGGATGGCCTGTTCCCAGGCCTCTTGCATTTTCTGGGCAATCATTCTGGGAGTGCAGGTTGTGAGGGGGTACCGATACCCATTCGCATCCTGCACCTTCAAAACAGAAACAAAAAACTCCAGCCTATCCGTCGAAGGGACAGACAGGCGGCCCCAAAGGGGCCTCGCTCGGCCGCCCACTTCCTAGGCTGGTTCAGAAAAATTGGTTCGGCTAGGCTTTTCAGCTCAAGTAGTTCTCGGGGGTGGCTGGGTCTCGTCGCAGCGCGCCAGATCATGGTCGACCAGGTCAGGGCAGGGCCTAGCCCTGCTCGCCAAGTAGGGTCTCCTAGTACCGCCAGACTTAAGGATCTACTTCTCGTCGCGCATCGGGGCCCCGCTACTTTCAAATATTCCGTCTGGAGGTTCTGGAGCTCCTGGGGATCCATGCCGACAACCTCAGTGCCATACGTAAGGGCTTGCTGGAGCCCCGTCTTCCAAAGCTTCCTGGTGTCGCCTCCAGCTATCTTGACCGCTCGTATTCGGTGTCGTCGTCGTTTATGTTTAACAAAACGCTTGTACAGGGTCGCTTTTGCTACACGTCGTCGTACCCGGAGCCTCGAAGCCCCCGCAGCACTGTCGATCCCAAGATTGGTGGCGCTGTGGGCATCCTGGGGTCCCGCATACTTCCCGAGGGCCTTCCTAATTTGTCTTCGCAGTCTGGCGGTAGAAGCAATAACCTGAGCTCTGTGCAGCGCCAACTTGCACTCGAGCTCTTCCGTAACCAGTACTGCTAGCCTAGCCGCAGAGCACTGCAATTGTCGTACTAGGGCCTGGGGGTCTCGGTGTTGCTGTCCCAGGAATGAATCGTCAATGAACATCTGGAGGTCCGTGCCCTTGGAGTTTGCTTCGGCCCAGGCGTCCGGGGGACTCAAACTGTGAATTTGTACCAAAAACGTGGCCCAACCACATCCAGCTGCAATACCGCGTGTGGGGTGGTCCACCAGCTGGACCAAGTCTCTGGTGGCCACCAGTCTCGTGCTACTGTACTGGTTTAAGATAACCTTCAACAAGACGCTGCTAAAACCGGTGGCGTGGGCCCTCTCTATCAGCTTCTGGTGACTGATGTGCTCATAGTAGTTGCTGAGGTCCCACAGCACCGCGCCTGAATGGAGTGGATCTTGGCAGGCCACTCCATTCTCAGCCTTGAGGACCTGGCGAAAGACTATTTCGGTGATGCTCTTGCTCGCTAGGTGGGCCAAGAAAAGTCGGCGGTGCTTTGGGCCAGCGGGGACATGATAGTGGGGCCGGTGGTAGGTCGTGTCCCAAAGCTCTCCAAGTCTCTCAGCCTCGTGTTCCAAGACGTGTGAGGGTCTACCAGTCCAAGTGCCTTTCCAGGGGACCTCGTTGGGGTTCCACGCGTCGAGCATCTTAGTCCATCGGTGAGCCCAACCTCCGTTTCCTTGCGTCCCAATACGCACCCACTCGCGCCAGGCTTTGTTGGCAGAACGTTTTTCCAGGTCTATCTCGACATCGAGGCTCTTATTGATGGCCTCCAAACCATCGTCCAAAACTTGTCTCCCATGGGAAATCTCCAGGACCTTTGCTTCCACGTCCAGGACAAGGAAATTGAGGGTCTGGTGGGTAGTCTCTAGGCACTCGCGGAGCGTCTCTAA